ATTATCTGCTGATATATTGTTTCCGGTGATTAATTGGCGAACGCTTTTGTTGAGAGACAGGATACATTTCTTCTCATGCACGGAACGTCGCGTAATCCGGCAATTTCGCAAATGTGGTGAGCGTTCTATCGACTTAATTGCTTTACCCTCCTTAAATTCACGAGGCAGCTTGGGAACTTGGCTCGGTGTACTTTGCTTGTCAAACTCTGCTTCTTCGTCGGGTGCAGCAGCGTAGAATTGTTCCTTTTCTTTTTGTCACAACCATCCAGTTTTTAGACGTATCCTAACGACGACATTAGTATCGCGTGCAACAGCTCGTGCAGCTTTTAACGGAGCCGAATGCGGAAAGCGGCGAGCTGACAAGATTGCGGGCGTGCACTCTGAAATATCAGAATGCAAATTAATGCGCCAAACGTTGCGTTATTCTTCAGAGTATTATGTTATTTTATTCAGGCGAAATATTATCTATTTTCCCGTACGTGCTAATGGATAATCGGTAAATGTGTTTTGCGAATAAAACTAACTGCGATCGATTTATCGGGACGTGACGTCGGAAGGGATTGCATTATATTTATCTCGAAATAATATAAAACGTCGTAATGTGTTTATTAATCTTTCGTGATTCGAGTAAGCTGAATATGTGAGCGATATAAAGAACACTCGAAAATGCGAATAAAAACAACACGCTCTTTAGATTAATAATGCTTTTCTCGATCACGATCGCTTTGCGATACATCGGAAATATATGCCTGTGGGACACGCGACATTTCCGATGTACTGCTAATACATTGTGCAACATTATCGATACCTCTCTGATATCGCGATCATTAAGTATTCAAAGAGACGCGATTTTATTTTCCACGAACAATTGATCTATGAATTTTCCGTCACTGTGTGGTCGCTGTGTCCTCATCTCACGATGAATATTTCACGTGTATTCGTGAGATATCGGGAAAGTCGTACTATTTTTTTTTTGCAGCGGTATATCGCTTAAACGATACGTAATGTGATTATTATCGGCATTAATCTCGGCCTGTGCTTCTTTTTAAAGAAAAATATTGAGAGAGATACGTATTAGAAAAAGTGAAAGAGAATAGAAGTACCAAGTAATTAAAAAAAATGTCATTTTAGAGAATCGCTATTTTAGAAAAAGCACAAAAAGCATTATTCAAATAATATTTTACGACAAATGAAATATTGTTCGTAAAATATTTACATTTTTATTACACACAAATCACAAATGGATTTTGTCGAGTTAATGAATATCACGCTCAAAATTGCTGAATGTCTGTCTTCTGCAGTCAAACTTGATATCTTTGGGGGGGGAGGGGGTGTAAGAGCTTCGCGAGCGAGTCAAGTGGAAAATGTCGTGCGAAAATCTCTTAATACAAGGGCGGATTGTGAAACGGAGGAGCCGACCCTCGAGTTTAGGATATCCTATTGACTTACGCGGTTCGCTTCCGGCCCGTCTGCCTGTCGAGCGGCGGAGGGACAGAGAGGAAACGCACGGTCTGTTTAATAAACAAACCCGAGCGGTTTGATTTGCATTGCGCGCAGTCACGCTCCGCTCGCGGTGCGAATTTCAACGCGGCAGCCTTCGCTACTCAGTGGCCACCTGAGTAACGTGAGATACCTGCGCGACGATGCAGCCCCGTTCTGGGGGCGCGCAAATGCGCCCCGAACAGAGAGAGAGAGAGAGAGAGAGAGGGTTGTGAGGGGCATTCCTGTCGCGCCTGCATCGCGCCGGTTGCGTTGTCGCGATGTGCGCGATTCAGCGTCAAGCACCGCCATCGAATGACAGTCTCGTATGTCAAAGCATACCCTCCGGTCGCCGTTACACAACATGATCAACCCCCGTGCGCCAGCCTGCTTCCACCGAGCCGCGCCATTCGAGCGGCAAATGCAATATTGTGGCCTCGCCGCCGAGACACTCGAGACAAAATGGCATGCTTTCGCTCGATTTGCCCTTTTTTTTTCCCCTCCTCCTCGATGATTTTCAAAGGCTGCCTCTCGAATCCTCCTTTCACGCGTCGATTTACATTCATGTGTATTTAATTACTCAGCTTAGAGGATTTCTCCGTATCAGACGAATACTTTTTAACACATCTGTGATCTTTAAAATTTCTTCCATTTTTAAATTTACAATACGCGTGTTTACGTATTGCGCGAATATGTAAAAATCTATTGCAAACGGTCAGTTTAGTAAAAATATAAATATTTGCTTCAAGTTTTAGAAAAATACAGCATAAATCAGCCGGTACATATACATTTTATTTTTATTTTCGAACAATAATTTTGACAGTTGAGAATTAAAATTGTGACAAAAATTTTGTTTTATATCTACTACTTGTAAATCTCTCTCACCTGCGCGCGCGCGCGGATGTAGATATGCGCGGATGTAGATGCTAAAAACATGATACACGATTTATTTTATTTTACACATCGTACACGGTATTTCCCTCTTGTCGTGCGAAATTGCATTTCACATACGAGGCATCGATATGTCAGTTCAATTTTATTAGTCAGAGTCCGGCATCGTATTTCTTTTTCCCGCTCTCTTCGGCGCTCATCACTTTTCCACCCGCGCGCGTGTCACGCTCACGAGTGCCTCTTCGCATTAGTCGATGGGACAAATGCGAAAACGAAATGCCACGGCTCGAGCACCGGGTTGGCAGCGTATGACTCCAGTCATACCGACCGTATGATCAGCAAGTGGAAACGGACGAGCACACGTCCGGCCTGAAATCGGAGTCGGACTTCGCGAACGGGCGAATGTTTATTTGAAATAGGATAACCGGGCAACGATTGCGCGTTCCTGATTTCGAAACCCGAGCGAGGGGGCTTCGAGCCATTGAACCCCAAACGAGCGAACTCTAACGAAAAAATTGCTTCCGTTGTTTGCGGTTTTGGCTGTATCGTTCGGAGATAATTAACAATTGGCTTTGTGCCATGCGAGAAGAGTCGGTAAGCGCATGGAGAGTCGGAAGATAGAATCCGATAATGGAAACAACACATGCGCGTGTAGCCAAACAATACCCGATGTTAAAATATATATATCCACATAAAATTTCTTCCTATGTAAGATAAATTATCTTAGTTAAATAATTAATTTCTGTTCTTTTTTTTTTTTGTTTCTAAACCCTTATTACAACTATAAGGATAAATAATTTCAAAACTTTTTTCAGAAACGTTTTTGTCAGAATTAGATCAGTGAAAGATCTAATCGGTCTTTTCTCACGATTTTATAAAAATCATAAAAAGTCGTACTGACTCTTGGTATTAAAAACGACGGCACATGCTAAGGAGAAAAACGAGAGCTGCGATGTCTGCGCGCAGTAAAGCGCTATCCGACCTACAACCTCTTATCTTGCAACCCTACCCTCGCCTCTTACGGCCAACTGCTCCACCTTTGAAATCTTACCCACCGCTACATACGATCTTCTCAGAATTTATATTAAACAACCGACTCCCATTATTGGTTTATTCGTGTGCTGTGAGGCAAGGTAGCATCCATCCGGTGAATCTCGCGAGCTTTCAAGAGCACGAATTTCTTTTCACGATTCCTTGCGAACGTAACTCCTCTATATGTAATATCAATCTGAGAACGACCTGAACGAGATGGCACTTTTTTGTACTAGAGAGGAATTAAACCTCGCGTTCGATGACTGAAATGGGTCGAATGATAGTCGGGATATGTCTAGATAGAAGATCAAAGCGTTAAATGCGTATTGCGTTCTCCATTCTCTATATAATATGTAGGACATTAGATGTAGGATGGGCACCAATTCCAAATTGTTTAATTATATATAAATAATTTAATTATATATAAATAATTTAATTATATATAAATTAATTTAAAATTTATAAATAGTTTAATTATATATAAATAACTTTTGTATATTTTTTTTGTTGAATGGCATGTATACAAAAATTTTTATTTTAACTCTAGAAATTGTCAATTGTTTGCTAAGAACACACAAACCCTCTATATTTTATTAACGTTATTGGATTATAATACATGAAATGTCAATTAAATAAAATGTCATATTTTTTTTAACAATTCACTCTGAGTTTAATATAAAAATTGAATCCTTTGATTTCATGAAAGAAATCAATATCATGTTGAGATTAACATGACCGTATGTATCTTTTCAATGCATATTACAATACTTTAAGCATGTTAATATAAACATATATTATATAATACGATTCAATGTATATAAAAAATAAAATTAGCAAATACTAAGTAAAAATTGAAAAATTTTTACTTTATTAGAGAAAAAATGTACGACAAAAGTTTAAGGAAAAGTAGTAAATGCTTAAAAAAAGGAAAATTTTTCATTATATTTGTAAACTGTTTATTTCTCTTTGATTATTTAAAAATAAACGTAAATATATTATAATCCTGAAGTCTGTAATATCTGATATCTGTAATCTGATTCACATTTAAAGCTCAAAACCGTATATAATCACTACTTCTAATTTTGTTACTTACATTACAATGTGTAATTATAAATTAGATAAAACCTAAGACGATAAAAGAGAACTTATTTGTAACTATTACATAAACTTCGATTGTAGTTCATCTATTATCATATCATATATTATTTAATTATATTATTTATTTCAAATTAAAAAAACATAATAGTAATTATATTGTAATTATATTATAATTATATTGTATAATATATCTTTTTGCTGCTAATTATATTTATTAAATATTTTAATTCATATTGGATAGCTTTTTGAAGAAAAATTTTATTATATTATATTTATATTTTACTATATTATATTTTTATCTTTGTATTTTTATCTTTGATTCAGAATTGTTACCTTTATCCCATTATATTTCAATATACTACTATTTTGTTTAATTTTATATAATATTTTTGTAGATTAATGTCTGATACATGTTATTTAAATTTAAGGCTTATTTAAGAATAACAGTAATCCTTATAGGATAGTATCTAATAATCAATGATTTCTTTCTGTGTGCACAGCTTGTTCTCCGACCGAGTTTATATGCAGAAACGGACAGTGTATCGACAGTAACAAATACTGCGATGGCGTGCATGATTGTCACGATGGATCCGATGAACACAACTGCCGTAAGTATCGTTTCCACATCCGAAAGATGATTACTCACACTCATCATACTTTATTTGCATGAGCATGCAGTTTGTCACTTTGCATCTACGGTGTATCGCGCATTGATGCATTGTGATCGCATCCTTGGAATTCTTTTCTAGTAGCTAACTTAATATATTATTAAACAAATCAATATTGCAATATTGTGAATTTTTTTCTAGTAGCTAACTTAATATATTATTAAACAAATCAATATTGCACTTTTGTTCGCTCTCATGTACAACAATAACAATTTTCCAAACGTTAAGCCTACTTATCCTGCTCGCGCAAATTCATCGTTAGCAAAATAGAATTTTCATGCATCTCCAAGAAAGACTTGTTACTTTTATATCTTATATCGGCGCACTGTGCACTATTTTGAAATTTAAACAGAATTAATTAATAAAACGAAAGCTTTTCATAACGCTAATTTGGAGACGTTGCACGGACTAATTACACGAATAAAAAAAAAAAAAAAAAAAAGAAAACAAATAAATTTCGTGGCAAGATCGTTCTCGCACGTACGAATCTATGAAGATTCCTGCGTGCCGATTAAGGTATCTTCACGCGGAATCGTGAATTGATACCGGCGACGTCCTTGCACGTACCGGCATTATTTATCGTAAGCTAACACCGCACGACATATCCGCATGCGACTGCGCCGGAACTAATGGTCGCGAACTGCTCGCGTATTACGATGAGCTCAATAATTATAATAGCTGTGACAATAACAATAGCGTGCTTAGGGGAAAAAATGGTGGGTGGCGGCGGTTGACGGTGGCGTTCTTCGGCCTCGCGTTTAAGGCCGTTGCACCCATCGACATTCGTTTTCCCTCTTCGTACAACCCCTGCCGCCGTCTGCCGACCTCTCTCTTTCCAACTGTTATATTATTTCCGTCGTCTTTTGCGGAGGCACGCTTCGTGTACGGCCGCGTGCATCGCTAACTACTCGGTCGGTCGTTACCGTCTAATTTTTTTAAGGATCAAGAAAATGAAAGGAACATTTTACGATCGGTAGGTAGGTCGTGATACCTGATCGAAAATTACTCCGTTGAAAATTTCGATCGTGATTCGAGCAAGAATACTCACCCTATAAAAGTATCCAGGTTACAAGTTAAATTAGAATGACATGGTTGCAAAATGCATCTTGCAAAATTAATTATATAAAATAATAATTATATAATTAATAATTGTGTAAATCGTTTTGAACAGACTCGAATTGAAAAATATTATCTTCGTCTCTATTTTCCTTTGTCGTAATGTAAGAAACATTCACAGATATCATTTCGCAATTTATGCGATATTAATGGTCACGTAAATGTAAATTGCGATTTTATGCGGCAATAAGTCCATTAGTGGCAATAACCGTAATGAAGAACAACACGTTCGGTGACGCATGTCGTATATTTGATTTTACGGCTCATTTGCATGAACGCTAACATTCTTAATAATGACAATTGTAATGCGCGAGCGTATTAACGGAGAATCGATCGTCGTTGTTTTCTCATTCATCGTCTCGTGTAATTTAACGCATACTTCATTAGCGGCGCGAGCGCCGCCGAGAACGTGCGAGGAGCGATTAAAAAAAGGGGGGAAAAATGGGGAGACGGGCGCAAGGCGGGACACCCCGTCTCCCCGCCAAATCCGGGATGGCCCCCTGTCGAACGAGATTTACTCGCGTTTATTAATCCGCCCTAATAACCGGCCGCAATTTTAATCCGACGTTAATCTCCCACGGGCCGTCGGCCGAACGTCGGGCCCGGCCCTCCCGTCACGGCTCTGCCCCGGAATTTCGCATTTTCACCGCTTTAATCCAATTTTGATTCGTGACGAGAGCGCCGCGCCCGCCGGCCGAACTTCTCCGCCGCGCCGCGAAAATCGGCCCGTCGCGAAAATCGTGTCGGACCACCCGCGAGCGCCCCATCATCCCCGTTAAATCCTTGCGCGAGATTACATTTGTTTCTCGCTGTCGAGACGTTACGGCGCGGCGGGCGTGTCATTAAGCCGGCGGGTGATATTTTAGGGACAGTTTGTTTCGACGAATCCAAAAGTTTTAATGGCCGATTATTCGAAATTCATTCGAATTGCGCCTTAGTCACGCATTTATCGCCACGCGAAGAAAATATTACGCCACGTCTACGCAATTATCTTGACAAGTCCGAAATTACTTTGGAATTATAATTTATCTGATTCAGTAGTTGAATCGTTAATTTCTCAAGTGCACATTCGCGTCGACGCGGCGGATCGTTTCCAGACTTATTTGGATGTTCGCGCACGGGCAAATCGCCGCGAGCATCCGAGCAGCGCTCGTGAGCTGATTATTAAACTCGCGGCTCGTTTGCAATTCAATCGTCAAATAGGCGAGGCTTCAGGCCAAGCCTTGAACCTAGGATGATGTCAGAAATCGCAACATCATCCATCGTTCTATAAAGCGGTTCACAGTTCAGGGCGCGCTGTCTCATTCCCGTTTCCGCGTCATCACCGCGGTCTAAACTCGTCATCTCTTTTTTTAGTACAAGTTGACGAAAAAAGCAGATTTTTCGAAATTTTCACAATGTCATAAAACGATTAATCTCGCAAATCAGTCGCATTAATTTCTGTCGCGAAGGATAACGGATGCAATTTTTATTACCGATAGCTATCACTCTATTTACAACTAATTAAG